TGAGCATGACATGATCACAGTTTAAACTATTTACCTTTGTCCACAATTTCCAGAAACCACAGAAACACTTGGTGCACTGGAAGATGAGTATGGTACACGGTGTCTATTACAACAGCAGTCACAAAGGGTGTGTTTAATTACTTCCTTTTTAGCTCACATTATACAAGTTAGAATGTTTGTTTTTTTCAAGTATGAGCTTTTTCTCAGGAAGGATTGTATTTACAATTATGTCATTGAAATAATGTCACTATTTACAGAGCTGTCATGCAAATGTATATTTTTGACACGACTGATCTTTAATGAGATTTCCTTTCACTTCATAAATGTAGAAATAACCTGTACTTGTTATTTTTTCATGTTGAGTCAAAGATGCTCAAAGCAATTCCTAGTTACATATAACAGATCTACTTTATACATAACTGAAACATAGTCTCATCTTAATCAAAAATTCTCAATACATTAGAGCCTTTTTAAAGGGCATTAAACATGTTAAAACAAACTAAAAACCATGTATGGAATTGAAAATGCACAGATTTGTAACATTTTAAGGCATTTGAAAATGTAATAAGATATACTTATTTTATCCAGAACAGTTAAAAAAATGCTTTCCACAAGAAGTTTAAATGTTTTGTTTTATTTGGCTTTGGAATACATATGTATTTTTTTAATCTTGTAATTTCCATCTAGATTTTATTTGACTTATTTTCTTCTCAGTTAGCATGAATAAAGAGCTGTGTTTACTAGGAACGGAACAGCTGTCGTGACTGAAATATCAGGCTATATTTATTTCCTGTTTGACTCTAAATATCCTTCTTCCACTACTTCGAGCCAAGTGGCAGGTACTAATGGAGAAAATTCTCCAAGATTTGTCAGAATTATTTATAACACCTACTAAGTTTGAACTTCCACAGAGATGTTCTGCTGAGGGGCTGGAACTGTGAGAGTTTCACTGATTACCTTCAGCTAACAGTGAACCTCTACTTTAGCCACCAAAGAACTAGATCTCTTTCAAGGAAGTGTTTAATGCAGCTTAGAATTATTCAGCACTGAGAGATGCAGCAGTCCTAAAAAGAGCTTATTAAAAAAGCTTATTAATTGACATGGAGCCACAGATAATTAAGCCCATAGGAAAGCAGCACTTAAGTATGTCTGATTTATCTGCCTTGTGACTTTACATCAGTAAAGAACTTTTCATATGGGATACTGACATTCATTGCCCAAAACCAATTTTTCATTATTTTGGGATGTCATCCCTACTACATATTCCTTTTTTAAAGGAATCTACTCTCAGAACTCCATAAATAAAACCCATTGTGGTATTTCTCTGTCTTTTCCCTAACCCAGCTGTATAGATTTAGAAAGAGCATGTATGGCAATGAGCATGTGTACATAGTCTTAAAAAATGCAATCTTATTCTCAGATAAAAGGGTATGGTATAGAGCAAGAGGGGCAGACAACAGGAAAGTAACAGGACCTCAGAAAAATACTTCGTACTCTGCTAAAGGACTTGAATTCTACATCACATTTCCACCTGATTGTTGCACTATAAATAGAGTCAAGGTGCTGTCAGCCTACAAAGTTGCATGTACTTCACGCACACAGCTTTACAGAATGACACAGTCTTTCCAATCGACCCAAAGTAACAATATACAGGGAAAAAAAGGGGTATCTCCTACTGAAAGAAATTTGAGATAACAGCCGAAAAAAGCTCGGGCTTATAAAGATAAAAGTGGTTTTGCTAGACTAATGTCTAAGATTTAATTTTTAAGACATATATATGGTGCTGTGGGATAGGCCAGTCCCTTCCTTCATTGAACATGCTGTGTGAGATACCTCATACTTGGATCTCTATTGATCTCAGCTTTGATTTTGCTTTTCTTTGTCTCTGTGCCTGTGAAGGTGGGAATGAGAACAAATGTAACCTCACAAACTAATTCCAGCCTCCATTGCCATTTGACTCAATACACTGCTGCTGTTCCTTAACAATTAGCTTCCCAGAAGCTGGAGAGACCTTCTTTGTGTGTTTATCCTTCAATGTTTTATTGCAGATTTAGACTACAGAATACTGGTCATGCTTTGAAAATTTTATTATCTTTGCAGTTAGCCATGCAAAACAATTTACTCTGGAACTACTAGTGGACACTACAGTTTCTCTCTGCCACACAATACATACCTAAATTTACAAATTCTTATTAATGAGGAAGTGTCAAAATTTAAAACAGCACTATTAATAATATTTCCCAACTAAAAAGCTGAGGTTCAGCTGGTACTTTTAGCATAAATTTAACACAAATAGTACCAGGTTCAAGAAATGCATCACAGAGTTCGAATTTCATGGAGTCTGCTTTAGTCCAAGGAAGAGAAATTAAAAGAAAAATCAAACACTATAAACTAAAATTAAGATTATGGGGTATAAAATGCAAACCATTAAAAGAGAATGAAAGTTGAGAAGCAGGTTTCATTAAAGTAATTTCATTTTTAACTAATACTTATATATTGAGTGATAGAGGCAAGAAAATTTGCTTTATATGTTTATATATACATATATTTCAGAAATATAACTATAGGTGTGGAACGATATACATAAACCATATACTTAATGTATATTTATATATGGAATGCTAGCAAAATTTGGTAGGTTTACAAATTCTGAGGTTGCACTGGAGAGCAGAAGTATTCAATAAATTAGAGCAAAACAAGATACCTGTTTTTTGTATTTCCCTTCTGATTTAGTACAGTGAAAAATCAGATTATTCTGCAAAATACTGGATGCAATAAATAAGATTAACATTGTTGTGCAGCAAGCCAGGGAAGTGCAAATCTTTATTTGTATACTGGAGTAGAATATTTGAAAATAAATATTAACCATTATGAGGTCATAATACCCTAGGATTATGAAAATAACCTGAGAACTACGAAAATCTTCCAAACCACTACAAAATTATATTTATTTTCATTCTGGCAGTTCAATGATCCTTTTGTCGAGTCCTACGAAGGTAATTAACTTATTTAAAGATTTGCTTATATTAAAAATAATGCACCTGTTGCTGCCAAAGCCCATGTATTGCCAAGTGTACCAGTTTTCTTGTGTATGAAATGTCTGATACTCGTCTTGATGCTCCCATACAGAGCTAGAAAGACTCAAATCCTCATTGTAACTATACTATCTATTTACACAGAGGCTGCCTCAGTTTACATATGAAGTAAACCTCACATAATTTTCATTGTCTTGGACCTACTGCTCAGAAAGAGCTATGAATACTATAACCATTTACTCACAATGTTTAGGAGGTGGATGGAAGGAATAATCTGTGGTTTACATCCTTGTTCCCTATGCACCTATGATTATTAATGCTAAACACATGCTTAAGCTCTGATCACTGGTTGTGATGTGGTATCCCATAATGTATCAACAAGATTTATGTTTAGAACAATTGCTGAGAAATGAAATTTCATGGCTTTTATTGTGGTAATATGAACCCAGAGAGAAGTCTGCTGATCATTTCTTATATCTGTCTCCCTAAGGGAATGAATCTCCCTGTATGAATTCGATTACAAACATGACTATAAAATAATTTAAATCCACAAATCAACCCTTGATTCAGTGTAAAATATGCTTGATTAACTGAAGTCAGCCAGCAAAACGGATATAAATATATCCACAGTGGCATATTAAATACCAATATTTTAAAATATTTAATTTTAATTCACAAGTCCCCTGGAAGTCACACAAATTGTTTGCCTAGGTCTGCTCAGTTAACTTTAATTTAACTGAATCTGTAAACATCTTCATAAAATGTGAGGCCTTTTGATGTCACTGGGGTCCCTCGAGTAGTATATTTAACTTGGAATCACTAGCAGCACTTTGGAAAGTGTCCCTAAGAACTGCATTGCTGCTGTGAGGCTGCTCAGGAAAGTCATTCCTGTTACAAAAGTGTCAGCTTTTTACAGAAGCAGATGTGCATCCACTGTAAGAGCAGGACACCAGTACAAGTGATGCTGCCGACCTAGTCTGTAATATCTTTTTAAAATGGACCACTGGTACTAGATTCATTTTCACTCTTCTATTTTTAAACAGGTAAGCTTTCTAGTGCCCAACAGTAGATGTTCCAGATTCCCAACTGACAAGGTTTGAAGTATGAATCATCAAAGGAAAACAAACAGGTGAAAGTCAGAGCAGAACTTCAAGCACTGCACTAAATATGTAGATTTGCAAGGGGTTGGGGATGACACAGAAAGAGAGTTAGGTCCATGTAATAATCAATATGATGGCAGACTTCTTAAATGTAGTGTTGAACCAAGTCATACACTGCATGATCCAGCAGTATTAAATAAGTTTTGGCAGACATCTTTACAAGATCATTCTGCTTAGAAATAACTTAAAGAGGACAGCACATTGAAATGAAAGCTGTAAGTTAGCTAATTGACTTCAATATAATAGATACCTTAAAATTATTTCAAGAAGCCCAGTACTTAGAACTTCTAATTTAATTGGAGTCAACCCACATTAAAGATGATTGCCAGTAGTACTGTCAGTAACAATAATTATAAACAAAGCATCAAAGATTACAAAAATAAAATTACAGCTTTTAATGAATTTATGTATTTACAGGCCAGATTACAATATTCTGACTCATCTTCATGAGCATTTTATTCCAAAACAACCCATTTTTTTTCAGTTACACAGTTCTCAGGATGATTGGTATGAGGCCTGTGAGGGAAAGATAATCCATCCTTCAGAAAATTCTTATGACTTTATTCTGTGGACAATTGACAAGAGAGGGACATGAGAACTAGGCAAATTCTCCCAATGACAGTTACATCTGATTTGGAATCTTAGTTGCTTTAACTTCATCACTAAAAGACCCGAGAGCCACATACAATTCTTCTGATGTGCAGAGTCCTTCAGTTTACATTAATTACAACTGCATGCAAAGACTGAATTTCTAAAATGGGATTTCCAACATTCTTTGCCTTTTGTCTTTTTCCCTCAGACTTACCTGGTTTCATCAATATACACTGCCTCCAGCACAGATGCTGCATATTCGATATTCTTTTTTAAATCCACCACATTAATGTCACCCTTCTCCAGCTGCTTTACCAAGCATCGTAATCTGTGAAAAAGAAAATCAAAATATCACTGTGCTGCTTATATCAAATTTTAGTGACTGCACTTTCTATTTGAAATATTTGATCCAACACAATAGCCAAAGTAGAAGCAAGAGAATATCACTGCCTTTTTGTTTAAAAAAAGTAATTGGTTTAGAATGCACATAACAACCAATAGTATGTTTTTAAAGCTTGCTAAACTTGTGAAGTCTGTTAAGAACAGATATATACATTCCAGTAAATCAGAGACAACTCAGTAACTGCCATCAGAGTGATTTCATAAATATTTGTGACATTACTATTATGCCTGAGCCTCTAAAGTTTGTTTAAATAATAAATAAAACCTTGTAAGTTGTCTTACTATAATTATTCTGTGCTTTGAAGATGGATTATAATTTTTAATATCCACTTTATACTGATTTTTATTCATGTAAATGTCTTTACTTTTTATTTAGGCCTCCAGTGTGTTTTTGCTGCAGAATTTCTATTTCTTACCAGCATGAGCTAATGTGGAGCTCCATTGTTCTATGTTTACAGAAAATTCATCATCATACTAGACAAAAGAAGGTGCCTATGGTATTAGAAAAATCCAAATATTTTCCCTAGTGTGCTTTTACTTTTAGTTTTGAGAACGTTCTTTTACATTACAAACACAGATACGCCCAAAGGGGATTTTGTAATGTACCAACTCATGTCTCTGTAGCAATACACTTATACAGATAAACTACTTGAATACCAGATTTTTCCTAAACTCTCTCATGCGAAAAACACTTCTGACACTGCTCAACTTAAGCATACAGGGTAGTCACAGAACTGGAGTCAAATTACACCCTTACCAGTAACTGTGTAGAGCTGTAAGTAAATGGATGCTTAAAGAAGTATGGGTATTCTTCATATTTGTGCTACATCTCTGAGTAGACATAGTTTACAGTTTTGTGTCACGTAAGATAAAGATGTCTGTAATCATTGTGTACAATCAATCTCTGTATACATCATTATTTTAACATAACTCATTAAATAATATTTTTAGGTGTGTAAAATATGAAAATAACCTGTAAAACAAGAACTTTGTTAGAAAATGGATGGAAACCGAGTCAGCACTAAGCTGACCTTACTTTCAGAATAAAATCATACTTATGATGTGAAAAAGTATATATTAAAAGATACAATATGTTACATAAGAATATATTATATATACTATATGTTGTTTTTATTAGGGTAATACAATCTTTTATTGGACCTAATTTAAATAACTGAATTTTTTTTAGTGCAGTAATATTAAAAACTAATCTCTCATAAACTTGCAAAGTACTGTTCCATCATAAAACCACTTTCATGTTTTTTCTTTATATTTGACCTAAGTATAGTTATGTCCAAGGCTGCACGGGTAATTTTAGCAAATGGACTTTTAAGACCAGCCTCCTTAGTTCTCCAAAGCCTTAATTCAATTCAAGTTAGCACAGAACAAAACAAATAAGGCTCTTAGCAACCATATTTATTTGGCATTTTACACAGTGCATTGCATATCAATGGCATGGAAAATTTAGTCTTAAAAAAATGTCTCAGAGAAGTGAAGTGGGTGGATGAAATACTATGGCAGTGCATAGTTGACTGCATAGGTGGCAGTCAACTGATTTAACTTGCCCTGTAGTAATAGTTTATATTCTAGGAGGCAGAACAAAAGAACAGACCAGACAGTTTGGAAAAGTTCCTTAGGCAAAGTTAAAGTGATTCTGAAGAGGTTACAGAATCACAAATGGACAAAATCTGTATAATTCAATGATGACCAGTGACCTTGTCATCTCATGCATCCACAATTTATGGAGATGTCACTAGAGTGTCTGCAGCTGACCGAGAGCAGATCTATCATAGAAACACAGGGTAAAGTCAGTAGGAAGGGACCTCCACCTCATCCAAGTTGTCGATCAAAGCAGGGCAAACATCAAAGTTAAGTTTAACTCCAAAGTTCGATCAAATTTCTCAGAGTAATTTCCACTTGAGCTTCAAATGCATGGAGAGTTTAAAAACTCTCTGAGCAATGAATATCTAACTGGAATGTCCTTTGTGGCAACTTGTACCGAGTGGCCCCCTCCTTTGCTGTACTCTTTCAAGAAAATCCGATTCTAGCTGTGGTACAACTTCCTACTAGGAAGCTGGACACAGGAAAAAAAATCCTTCCATAGAGTTGCTTATGAGATACTTGTATGGTGATAATCATGAGGTCTAGCACAGAAATTAGAAAAATAGACTTATAGCGAAGCAGGATTAGTCGGTTTTAACAGTATATGAATGATGTGAATATACTCAACATACTATGCATTAAAGTGCAATAGCCACAGAGTTTGTGCTTATAGTTCAGTAATTACAGTAATTTTAATAAAGAATAAAGATGTCAATTTATAAGAAAAAACAATAAGTGTTAAATATTCATACCCCAGCATTCTGCAAGACAAAGAAAACTGTAAAAAAGAACAAGGAAAAGTAACCCAATTATTACTCCAGCTGCATCAGGCAGGATTTTTTGTTTGTATTCTTTTAAGTGTGATAAATGGAAAACAATCATAATACATCAGAAAGCATTAAATGTTACTTAAATCTGGAGCTAATTGTATTATCCTGCCTGTGAACTGTACTACTAAAAAATAATAGCAACAAAAAAAAAAAAAATTAGGACCTATTTTGTGAAATAGAAAAGTGGGCTGTTTCATCTGGTTTGAGGTGTAAAGAAAATTATATGCTGGCTTAATATGACACAACAGGGAAGAAAGAGATTTATGGAGAAAAATAAACTTTTTTTTTTTTCTCTCAGGACAACTGAAAACAGCAGCCCCAGCTGGTAAGGGAGAAAGAGATATCTGCAATTAATTAAGGGAGTCGGTGAAGAATCATCTTCTGAAATTTTGGGTAAACACCATTAACTGTGCTGTGGTATTAAATGCTTTCATGGACAATCCAAAAGCACTCTGCTGCCACCTGTCTCCAATAGTGCCATCTCTGGGGTTACCAAGAGCACCGCTTCCCCAATCCTCACTTCCCCAGGCAGTTGGTGCCTCTGGCCAACTATGCTTTGGGGCTTACCCAGCAACACATGCAAACCAGAAGAAAACAAGCCTTTTACTAGGAGTAAAAGCAGCATGTTAATGATTAACAGTTGTTCCCTCCTTCCTCATTAAAATTCTCCCATGTTTGCATTAAAGTTTCAGGGGTTGTACCAAATTAACTGGGGACAGATTTTAGGTTATTTGAGAAAGCTTCATATGACAATTTCAATGACTACTGGGAAAAAAACAAACCAAACAAACAAATGAAAAAAAGGGAAGATAAGGAATCAGTGATTAAAAAAGACTTTTTGCAAAGTTATAAATGAGAAAATGTTTTCTTCTATGGAATCAAGCAAAGTTCAACAAATAAATTTGAAAATACTGAAAAATTGCCATAAATGCAGATTTTAAAGACAACAAAGAAACGTGCCAGGGCAGGAATTACTTAGGAAGAGAGATTGTAAAGGCAGAGAGAGTTGACAGAGAGAGGCAGATGAGTTGGGCAATTTCAATTCCAGATTTTAAAGACTCCCTCTTCATTTTCCAAGGGAAAAATTAATTATCAGCAGTTGCAGAGAATAACTGAGAGTTAAAGGTTTAGGTCAACAGTCTTCAAGAACCAGAAGAGGATAATTCAGCCTGAAGTTAACTTCTGAACCTGAGGAAAAAAATCCCTGTGTCTGCTTTCCCAAAGATTGCCCTTATCTGCCTTCTGAGACTTCCCATCATTGAGCACTGCAAAAACACAGCTTTCTAGCTGATGCATCTGGACTTGACTTAAAACTGTTTTGGAAGCTTTGTACAAAAAAAAAAAAAGATAGCTTTTGCCACAGATTCTGTTAAAGGGGGAGTGAAACAGTAGTAATAAAAATCAACCATGCACAAAGTCTATGTTCTTTTTCAAGTAAAAAAATATTATATATGATTTATTATAAATCTTCTACTATGACAAAGGATATAATTCCTTTTTTGTGTTTTCTGCAAGGTAGAAGAAAAATAGGGATTATGAAAAAGGAAAATCCCAGATACAGTTGCAACATTTGTAATACGTGGCTATAAAGGATTAGACCTGATTATACAAATGGGTGAGAGATACTGGAGAAATATCCAGAATGTGATAATAAATATTCAGGAGTGATTCCTTTGGGTAGCCCCTCTTCTTCCTCTGCTCCTAGTTGGTGTGGCCAACTAATGTCAGTTCAGCATGGCTAACCTTCGATGTTTTTTACATTTTGTCAGTCAAGGAAAGGCCAGCACATCAATAGAGGGCAAGGATTAGACTGACAGTTCTCGACTCAGACCTTGATTTGCATTTCACTTCCCCAAAATAATACAAATAGCAGTTTCAAAGGCAGTTACTTAATATTTCTTCTGATTAGAAAGCCTCTCAATAAATTCTAATACTAAGAAAAGATACTAAGAAAGATATATCACATTCAGCGCTGCAAATGTGTTTTATGAAATTTCTTCACAGTCACTGCTGTGTCTGAGCATATGCCCAGGAAGCCTTGTGGTTGCTAAGGGTTGCACGAATTACATTCATTTCGTGATTATTTTAAGCATATGAGTAGTACACACTGAACTGTAACTATATTGAATATGTTGGTAGTTCAGCCAACATTTGATATACCTAAACTTCAATCCCATATTGAAGAATTAAAATAGAAGTTCTGCAATTATATAACACATAGTGAAATTTACATTTTCTTAATGATAAAACTTTGCATGTTCATGGTGATAGAATTGCCTTGGCTGTTTAAATATTGATCATGTTTATGCAAGATGAAGTGGTTTTCCTTCAGGCAGGGATTCTCTATTAGGCTCCAACTCATTTTACCTTATTCATCCTGTAAATGTATTATTTAGCACTCTAATACTGTAAAAATATTATCCTTTGGGTCTCATTTAGTAACAGGTTTGAGTGTGTTTAAAGGCTTAATCAAATTTAGTCAAAATTCCCAAGT